CCTTACGGGAATAAGAGCTATTATTTTTTTTCTTTTACCATTTGCTAGTGGCACAGAGTGCAATTTAAGATATGCACTTGGATTTCCAGAGATGTTATTGCCATAATTACACCTTTCTGTACATCAGTATTGCTTATTATATCAGCAGATCTTTGAGGATATTTTTTGTCAATTAAACTTTGAAAAGTTGCTTGCATTTTTGTGGCTCTCTTAAAAATTGTGTAAGTTTAAGAAATTAGACTAAGTTCCCTAGGCAAGTCTTTATGCAAGAGCTATATTCAAAAGGGAACAAAACTGGAATAATTGTGTAGTTACCATGAGGTTTCTGTGCTTTACCAGTTAAAATAAGTGTGTGATGGGGCAAAAAGGGGCAAATTAGGGAAGGAGATCAACAAGTACTGTACTTGTGAAAACAAAGCCTCAGTGAACCAAGAAGATCAGCTGCTCACTAAGTATTTCTTACTAAAAAATACCATGAAAACAGGTAGCAGTAAAAACGTATTATAGTTGAATCTCCGTCTGTACATTTGTGTGTGTAAGTTAGTACACATTATCCATTTTTTTTGTAAAATTGCTGATATTCCTAAGCATTTTGAGGACTGGAAGACTTAAGGACTGGATCCCATTTTGTGGTAGACAACCATTATCAACTGAACTTAAAATTCTGCTTTTCACCTCCAGTACATAAAGCACAAAAATAGCTGTCTACAGTATCACAATAATCCAATACTTTGACAGTGGCCAAGAGAGGATTCCTCTGTGACAAAGGGTGGGAAAGAGCATAGGACCATGTATATTGTATGTAGTTATATATTTGAGCAATCTGATGTTTAGGGTCTAGGATTTACAGAACCAAAGGTTGTATCCACATGTATGTGTTCAATAGTCTCTGATACTCATCTGCATGAAATTGTTGAATCACTTTTGAACCCATGTTTTATCATATGCAGTGACAAACTTACTGAGACATTTACAGAACCTTCTTCCCTTTGTTAATTTTTCCCCCCAGACTTCTTCCTCATCAGTTCAAGATCCCTATATTTTACACAGTAAGAATTGGGCTTTATACACCTTTATTATACATTGTATGGTTGTCTTTCTTGAAGCCGAGGACATCTAGTCAATCTGATTGAATTTTTTTCATATCTTTGGTTCCCCTGGATTCCTATACTAGAGAAAATGGAGATTGTTCAAGATATTGTTACAGGTGCTTTCTCCTTTGCTAGACAATGAAATTTAGACCTGGAGTCTCTCATAAAGTGGCAGCAAGCAGGTTTTACACTGATATTTTTTGCTGTTCTGTGTTCAGACTGATCTATATTTATCTGCATGTTCTGAGGAAGGACTTTTCCCTCAGCTCTTTGGATTGAGTGTTTGCTGTAGGTCTGAGTATTCTAAGTTGGCTGGTGTCCAGCGTAGAAAACTTGTAGCCATTTATTTTTTATTTTGGAAAGATGTTTTTTAGTTGTAAATAACTATGAGCCACATTTGTAAACTCATTGCTTGTGGGAAGAAAAATCAGTCTTCTACCTTAGTGTGTATAGTTTTTAAGTGGGTAAAATGGACATCTTTAATTTAGTCACAGAAATCTGCATGGATCAATTCCTGAAAAAATGAAGAATGGTTAAATAACCCAGTTTAAACAGTCTTCTTTGGATGCAAAGAGCAGATTTGAAATAAATTAGTGAAAAAATATTACATAAATTCAGTATAGTGGTAAGGACATTTTTGTTTATATATATAGCAGAGAATTTGTGTGCTTGTAAAGGCATCGCCCCTCCTGTTTATCTCCTACATGCAGAGTGCTTTTACAGAATAAGCAGCTGCTGAGTCACACTTTCATTGAGTGATTGACAACCCCCGTTTCTACTAGGAATTGGTAGGCTTTCTCTCCTGTGTATCAGGCGAGCAGTGTTACGCCCCTCACTTAGGAAATGAAAGCATGACACAGCATTACAGCTGACTTCATTGAAAATGCTGTAAGCAGGGGAATGGAAATGTGTTTAGGCAGCCATGTAAGGCAAATCAAAGTCTATCCACATTAAATTATTTATTGGCAGTAATGATTCATTATTAAAGAAAATAATATAGTAGTGTTCATTTTAATGTGCTGAACTACCAGTTTTGCGGTGCAGTTATTCAGAGGAAATTTTACCTGAATATATGAGTAGTAATAGATCTGAGAGAGACATCAAGCTCTCTGTTGGCAATGTTTCCTGAACAAAGAAAGATATGTACATAACTAGAGTGATTAAGTCTAAATGTAGATAACCTACAATTTATGATACCAATGTATAACCTGTATTGAATAATTTGTGAGGCCAAAATAAATTATGAGAAGCTGTAAACATTGCCTTCCTCTTCATAAATGTAGGGAGGTTCTATTATGGAACCATAAATATATTCAATACATTTATTTTCCCTTTGAATATGATGTTTTAAATTGTTTTTTCTTTGAACATGTTAGTACATACTTGTATTGTGATGAGCAGAATCCAGTTTACATTTACAGAAATATCTGCAGCTGTTACTTTCTTCAAAATCCTGTAAGTAGTTAGTTTACATTGCTATTAGAACCATAATTATTCCATAAAGATCACGGCTCTTCACATTTCATTTAGCTTTTTTTTTTTTGTTAAGTCTGTAGTTATATCTTTGAATGGAGATAGAAATTTACCTTTGACCAATAAAGATTTTACTGTCATTTGTCATGTAAATGCACATATTTTTGAAATTTATTCTACTCCCATGGTATTCCATAAAAAGGTTTGTCAGTGCATTCAGCAGGGAAAGAGTGAGTGTATTTATTTGGTTGTTGCCGTGGAAGTGCTTATTACACCATTGTTCTGATGGCCTTTTTCATATTAAAAAAAAATTATGGTATGAACTTCAGGTCATTTGGATTTTCTTGTAGCCCATGGGTACCTTGGTTGCCATAATACCAACTTCACTGAGTGGGAAAGTTACTCATCTCAGTAGAGTCATACGGTCTTCATGTGCAGGATTTTGTTCATGTACTAAAGCTTTTGCAGAACTGAATGTGATGGACTTCATGTCACTGTATTTTTGATGGAGTACATTGAAATAATGGCATTGGAATTTGGTATGGGATTTTGTTCCAAAGAACATAAGGTTTCTTACTGTGGCATGACATCAAAAAGTAGCTATAAATTGTACCACTTATCTGAAGAATTTTGAAATACAGATTTCTATAAATAACCATGTATAGAATATGTAATGATTTTTCTTTTAGTTTAACTCATGATTGGCACACATATGGAACAATATATATAACTCACAACTACCTCAGGTTAAGAAATACAGAAATTCTATATTGTAAACTCTCCTTTTTATTCCACATACTGACATGAACAGGTATGCTCACACAGACAAGCTTAAGGAAGTGATATTGGCTATTGTTAATGAACAAGGGAGCTACAGAAAGAAGTAGAATCCCTTCACCAGAATTTTCACATAATTTAAAATGTGATCAGGTTAAAAATTTTTAAGTAGATTTGCTAATTAATGTCAAAATAAGTAATATATTTAAAAAGAGAAACACGGTTTTAATAGAACTTTAGAGTCAATCATGGCTAATGAATGCTGTTATTACACACAATTTTCTCCTTTCTATTCTGATTACCAAGTTATTGTCACTGTCATGTTAGTTTACAGAACTCCTCAAGGTCATGATTTAGTTTGATATAATTTTCTAGTGAACAGTCTGAAATGGAAAAGTCTCAGAAACAAAATTGTTGAGATAATATAAATAAAAATTTTGCTAGGGGATGAAGTAAATGTAAATTAATTATTATATCAGTGTACTAGACATATCTGTAATTTATACTTTTTCCTAAAACTTTACATTCTTTATTTTAATGTTTTTGGAATTGTACGTAACAAATACCGTTTGGTGTCAGATAGAAACTTGGTGACCTTGACTGTGGCCAAAGTGATCTTAGAAAGCATAAAAATTCAGAAATTTTTTTCCTCTAACAGAAGATATATAGGACAGTCTCACAGCAAGAGAATAACTGACCTGGACAAAATCATGCAAACATGTAGAAAATTAATCAGAACTAATGATGTTGCTTTTCCATCCCTCTCCTTTTAGTTCCCCTAAGTGCAGGCAAGTCATCTTTTGTGCTGTTGTTCTCTGTCTGCTTCACGTCTTTCTGCCTACCTCAGGTCCAGGACCCTTACTCCTTACATCAGATTGGCACATTGTAAAACCTTAATGACACAGGAAAACTACTCTGTGGTTTTTTATTTTTATGCAAAGTTTTGAAATGAACCTGTAGGAAGACTTGATAAAAAAAAAGTAAGAGCGAAGTGGAGGAAGGCTTATTAGGAGGAGTCACAGAGAGGCCAGAAAGTCACCAAGAGACCATATCATCACTTTGTTCACTAAATTTCCAATGAGATCTTGTCAAGGCCCCTTACTGCAGTACTCACTAGGTTGAGTTCTTTCCTGCACGTGTATAATTTTGTTGCCAGTCACTAATGAAAAATGGTTGTACACCATGTTCCCAAACACTGAAGGACCACTGAGTGTAAGGCTATCTATAACTAACACAGATTCCCTTTGGGCTTATTTTTCATGTATTTCCAATGTCCCTAAAGGTCTTTAACAACCCATAATGGACCATATAGCCTCTGCATACCCCATGTCCTGGCAGTCTTTTGCTGTTGTAACAAAATCCCTCCAAGCCATGGGAGGAAGCACAGGGTAGGTCCTGGGTACTGACTGGCTGTGAGCTAGTGCCAGTGTTAGGATATTGGCCCTTTGCTTGAGAATTCCTCTAAAAGCCTCCCTCTGTAGGATAATGAATTGGGAAATCTGTGTTTGTACAAGCTGTAGCTGCTCTGTCCAGCCTCCTCAGACTCCCAGCCACAACTTGCCCATTTAAGCTCAGGTCTGGACATCCCATTCTTGTTTGTGTGGTGGTGTAGTGAGCTGTGTACAGCTCTGCCTCTTGCAGTCCAGGTTTGCTGGCTGCCTTCCTGGCTGGCCCTTGAACCTACAGTACAGCCAGCCTTGTATCCAGCCCTGTTCCCTGGCTGGACCTTGAACTCACATGGCAGTCAACCTTGACCCTGGTGCTCTCTTGCAGGAAAACCTGGCTGCACCTCCTGGATGGACCACAGACCTAGTTCAGTATCCGTGTCTGGGTCTGTTGGTGAACTGGGACCCTACCACCACCCTGGCCCTGCTGGGCTGTGGGACTACCTTCTTGCTGGAGGTACTGATTGTCTCTCCCTGCCAGTCTTGGGGTTCACATAGGCTTCTAGTTCATCCTCCCATGTGGCAAGATGTATCTGCCTTGTTTCTTGGCACTGCCTAACTTTCATCAACCAGCTTGGTAAAAGCACACCTCAGACCCAGCTTCTATATACACCTTCATACTATACTAACATTTTTCACTCCTAGAAAGATGGTACAACTTCATGCTATCTAGCTATATTTCTCATGATGACTTCTGTACATGCAGCAGAAATAAATGTTTTTCCAAAATGTTACAGCTCTTCAAGATACCTTTTATTACTGTAGGAATTTTGTATTTACATAATATTATGTTACTTGTAGTCAAAGACCTTCACTAAGGATTTGGCCCCAAACTCCACAGTTATTAACAGGAAGGTGTGGGAGTCTCTCTGTATAGAGTCACTACAAGCTTTATTGGGTAAACAAAATACTTTCTTACTCAGTGCTACATTTAAAAAAAATTCAAGTCTGAAACTCCAGCTGCTTATGACAAAGATGATATGGTATTAGATTATGATGATCTATTTTTGAATGCATACCTTAGGTAATGGGTTTCTATGTGAGCATCTAAACCCAGCATTCAGGGAACAGCCTTTGCGTTTTAAAGTATAGCATTTTAAAGTATAGGCTCATTCCTAGCCAATATAAATCTACAAGCTAAAAGTATTGAAGGGTAGTAAGGTCTTACATTAACTTATGGAGTGCAAAACATGTCAGTGCATTTATTGTAACATCTTATCTCAAGGTTTTTTATTCCTTATTATTGAATGACTTGAACAGGGAGAATTCTAGCCCAAAGAATTAACAGAACTATGGAAATACTTGCATTTTTAAAGCAGGTAGGGATATAGAACTTTACAACAGTATTTTGTGAGGTTTCATGCTTCTGTACACATAAATACATACACAAACACTACCATATATAGATGATCATTGCTGTATGAGACTGCATAATTATTAAAAAAAATATTCCAGTGGTAGAAATTACAAATATTCTTGGTTTTATGTGCCTGTAAAATGTATGCAGCTGCAGTAACCAGTCTATGATTCTTTTAAACATCATCAGAACACATATGACTATTGCAGCCTTTTATCTATCTGTGGGTAATCATGTAGAAGCTAGGCACACAGGAATGCCGAGCAGATAATATAATTGGTAGTGTAAATCTGAGTGGGTAGGCAGTTGGATTTTCTTCAGTCAGTTCTTCCTAGCCACTGTCTTTGAAGCTGTAATCCTTCTGAGCCAAGCACTGTCTCAGGTTCCAAACACACATAAATGCCATGATAAGAAACTTGCTGCAGAAAGGTTGTACTGCTCCCACAGCCAAACAGGCTGTGAAGTTTTCTCACTTGTTTCAGTGCAAAGTCAATGGCTTTCCAGGATAATTTTTATCAACCCAAGCTATTTTGCATCAAATGCATAAAGAAAGCTCACATCCTTCACCGGGTTAGCTCTGGACATAGTATCTTCCACTAAATTTATGATCACAAGCTTCTGGTGACTGGTAGCTGTTCTTGTACCTGGTCTGAGTTGGGATAGGTGGTGTGTTCTGGGATGCAAATGACGGGAAGAGGAGAAGACACACAGGGATGATGGGATCTGCTTTACTTTTGTTTATGGTTTGACTTCATTCAGTGGGGCATGTATGTCCTGGAGATCAGTGGAAACAGCAGGTTCCTCACAGGCACAAAGACATTAGAATCAGGACCCAAGTTTGTATTTTTTCATGGCCAGTGTTGGGTAGAACATTTTAAAATTTTCTTTCTGTTTAAATACTATAATACAAATATTACCCTCTTTAAAACTAGTGAAGCAGCAAGAGAGTGAAGGCTAGTAAAAGCATTAGTTTTATTCTGATAAATGCTGCTTATGACAGGTGAGTTTAAAAGATATAGGGTAAGAACTATGAAACCTAAAATTGTTTGTTTCTACTAATTTTCATTACTTTCTACATTCAGATATTGCTAATACCATGTCAAAATATACAGGCAAATAATCTCAAAGTCTCCTGAGATGAACTGACATAGAGTTTCATAATGACATATGCATTCTTAAGTGTAGTATTTCACAGTTCTCCAGGTATAAAAATAATAAAAAAATGTAGGTAGTAAGTGATATTCTTGCTTTTGTTATTTGATAAATCTCCTATTTTCAATGGAATTGAAGCATTGAATAAGTAACCTTTGGTCTTCCTATACTTCTTCTGATCTTTATGGTGTTTTATTCTGTATTCCAGATATAGTAAATACTTACTGTGAAATTTTAAATTTATTTGCATTCTTCAAGTTACGTAGAAGCTTGATCAACCAGGTAGTTATATATTAATTTTTGGTTGCTGTATATGCAAAATCTGAAATTCTAACTGTTACCTCTGTTTTGCCCTTCCTTCCTTCCTCCCTTCCTTTCTCCCTGCCTCTCTCCCTCCCTTCTATCTTTTCACCTAACTCTCAAATGTAGTACTCTTCATTGTATGTCTCACAGACTTTTGTCTCAATGCCTGGCTTTCTGACTTTGGTGCAAAGATAGCCATGCTTGAATGTTTAGCAAACTCATGTTGTAAAATTTATCCTTTGATTGTTGCAAAGCATGAAATTACTCTGATGATGTTGTGCTGTTGTCGGTCTAAGACAATAGTTGTATGAATGAGGTGCAGATGTTGACTAACATCAAATACAAGTGCAAGGCAGAGTCCCTATTGAGGCAGATTCTCTCTAATAGACTTGTTGCCTATAGCTGATCACAGAATTTATTCCAGACTATCTGCACAACCCTTCCTCTAAACTAAAAAAACAGATTATGACTTTCTATGTGTATACACTTGTGATTGAAACCAGTGACAGAGATGTTATTTCTGTACAGGAGAAGTATTTGGCACAAGGCTTTACCTTCTTTTCTTCTGCCAGCTTTGACAATACCAGGAAATGTATTCCCAAGTAAAGAGAAAATTCAGTTTAAAACACAGTTGTAATTTATCTAGATGAATTAAAAAAAAAGGGAACACTAAGCCCACCCTGGAGTCCGAAGAGCAGGTTCTGGTTAACTGAAAGACTAAGGAGCCAGTCTCCTTCCTTTTGTGGTGGTGGTAAAATAGTTACAGTAATTAATCTGTTCGAACTCTGTAGCTAAAATTCTCCTGTGGGAAAAACCATACCAAGGAAAAATATGACTTTGAAGAATGAGGTGAATATTTTATCCTAAAATGTTGTGTTTATGGAAGAAATAGTTATTTCGATAAAGCTTGTTGATTCGTTTTGTCATGAAGAAAGTTCTTATAACAGTCTTTAGTACTCATACATAGTTGTCAGGCATTAATGCACTCATGAATGCTGTGAACAATCATATTGTCACTGTTTTTGGTGTTTGTTTTTTTTTTTTTTTTTAATTTAGAGGTAGTGATTTTTAGTTAGGGAGTCCTACATTAGCTTAAACACACTGAAAAAGAAGTCTCCAAATATGCTGACATGTTTGTATTTTGCTTCTGGAGCAATTAAAAAGTTTTATTGAAGAAAACATATTGTTAAAGAAAACACAGAAAACAGACAAAGTAGCTCTTAAAGTCAGCTAGTCCATCCTCTGTTCTCAAGGGATACCTAAGTCATTCTTGGTAGAGATTAGTCCAGTTCTCCCTTTGTTACAATTAACTCCACTGCTGTTTGTTCTCTCTGCAGTCGCCTTTTACATATCTGAAGACCATTATCATGTCTCCCCACAGTCTTCTCATTTTTAGGTGATGAAGAGCCTGGTCCCTTCAGTGTTTCCCAGGCTCAGGGAGCTCTACCTACTTTTCTCTGTTCTCTCACCATATGATTTCTGTCATACCTGGAAATGATACTTTAAACCAAAAATAGTACTCCATCTAAATGGTCAACTTTCTATTGACCCTTTTTGAGGATATTTGCTTTTCTTGCAACCTTGTGACATTGCTGACGCATGTTCAGTCTGTGACCCATTGTGACCTCTGATCCCGCTTGTAGATCTGCTGCCCCAGTCATCCCCATCCTACATTTGTTTAGTCGATTATTCCCAAGTGCTGTGCTTTGGATTTGTCCTTAGTGAAACGCATTCCAATTTTTTAATGACCACATGAGTCTTACTCGGGTAGTGCATCCTCCCTATTTCTTCAGTTCCTCCTTCTGAATTCAAATCCTGTGGTCTGCATAGGTCTTTCAGCTTTTTCAAGCATTGCATTATTTGCAAAGATGATGTGAGTGCTGTTTATTCTATTGTGCAAACCACTAATGAAAATACTGAAAAGTGGCGTATCTGGAATAAGTACTGTACAATGTAATGGGTATGGAATGTCCTGGTCAGTAACTCTTCATTCCTGCAGCTCACAGGACAGGCCTGATGTGAACAGAGGGTTATTCTACTGATACATCACGACTCGAGAGAGTTGAAGTGAAATTGTATAAAACCATCCAGGTCTGGGGAGCTTTGAGTATCTTCAGCAACAGGCTGATGAGGGTCCTCATAAGGTCCAAAGCTGAAAAGACAAAAGCTTGAAGCATCAATGACTCTTCTACAGAATGAGGGGAGTTATATTAGCTATGGTCCCTCGCTCTTTGTGTTTGTGGATGTACAAATCAGTTTTGTGAAAAATTAAATTGAGTTTAGCATAGTTTTTCTTTTAAAAAACAAAAGGGTGTTCTTAAATGGGGGAAGAAAGAAAGAGTTAGAAATATGGGCAGGAAGTAGAAATATTGTTGGAGAGGACAAACATTCAGGAACTAGAGCTATTGTAGTGCTCAGAGTAAACCATGGTGTTTAAGTTTTCTTATTCATAGAAAATCTTGTTAATTTTGACTTTTGAAGGCATAACTTTTTCCCTGACTTCAGTGCTATAAATACCATGTTTCACTAGAAAATCATATTTTTCTCAAAAAATGCTGACAAGAATGTTTTTGCTTTCATCGCTGTTTCTCCATGAAAATAACCCACCAAATATATTTGGGTTTCACATTAGTATTTCAAAATATCATGTATTTTAAACTATATTTCTATTACAGTTATTTTTTTAAATAACTTCCAATAAACAGATATTTTATAAGAATGATCTTTTGACAATATATTCTGCTGTGGAAACTGCTTTTCTTTCTTAGAGATTCCTGTAAAATCTTTCCTTATCTAAACTCATGATAAAGAGGAGTTTGCTGTTCTTGCTAACAATGATTGCACTCTTTTCCAAGGCCATTTACAAGAAAATAAATAGTTGAATCTGCATGTGCACTTACCCTTTCTGTCGCTTAGCTCAGCACAAGAAAGTAGAGATCCACAAGGAAACATTTTAAAATGTTCTACCTGCTCATCAACGTTGTAATTAGCTGCAAAAATAATGCACACTTACACATAGGTCCTTTGTTTTGGCATGACAAGGCAGGATTCCTGAGACTAAACTCAGATTTTTGCAAGGGCTCTTTATGAGTGCTTGCTTATTTAACGCAAGTAAAGTTACCAAATACCACACCTTCTATGTATTACATGGTTTCTAAAGTATAGCCCTGCATTTCCTTTGAAATAAGTGAGGCATGGAAAAATTACGTTAAAAAAAGATGTGTCAACAAAGTAATTTTCCCTTAAGATATAAATGATTCAGAGAGGCTGATTCTTGCCACTGTGTTACTCAGTGAACAACAATACAGTCTGATATAAAGCAATGTTTTGCTTCATATTGATATTGCTCTTGACTGAGTGACACTGCATTGTATTAGGATAATAAAAACAGAATCAATCAATAGTATCTCAAACATTAGAATAATTAGTAAGTGATTTTTGGCATAAAAAATATCTAGTTCTGACACAGCCACAGTTTGAATAAATTGAACTGGATTTAACTCAAGGTTTTCTCAATACAAGACTACTCTGAAAAAGAGCAAATGTAGTTACCAAATCAACGACATAAGACCACAACTGAAACATTTCTGATGGAAAAAGGAAATGGAGAAATCCAAGACAATAAGATAAGGCAATGGTCTCTCCATGGTTTATTAAAATTTGGAAATGTGTAGCCTAAGAGACTAACTTGCCCCATAATTTTGCAACTCTCATTCAGAGCTGTTATTTTGCATTTCAAGCATATTGTTACTTGAAATGAAATTTGAAACTTAACTGGATTTTTTTTTTACACTTTTTGATATGTAAACAAAAGCTCAGACTTTAAAAATTATTATTATTATTACTGTTTCAACTTTTACCCCCAAATCCAGATAGTGTTTGGACTAGGATATTCTTGTTTACTTGTTCTTGAGTAACAGATGCTCTTGACTGACTGAAAAGCATCAGTTAGTGGTGACTGAAGAGTTAGGTCTGAATTTGTTAGCTGGTATGAGACTAGCCTTCCTATATATAATGTCTGCTAATGAGGTAGAGGGACTGACTTACTCAGGCTTTTGTCACCTGCCTAACACTTTCTTCCAACTGGACATGTTTGTCCCCCAATCTATCTCCAGCCTTCAGCAAAACTGAGTGTCTGGTTACTCATTAACTTTATTCTGTCAAAATGATTTGAGTGACTTTAAATACTTCATAGTGGGAGATAAAAAAAAAAACCAAACCCAACAAAAAACCTGTATCAAATTTGACAGAACTGGACTAGAGGAGACTATGCATGCAGTAGTGCCAGGAGATGGGAATGTGCAGCTGTTTCACATGGGATGGGTGGTGAGGCCTGAAAAAGCAGCTTGAGGAAGTCTGTATGGGTAACCACTAACACTAATGAGCCACAGCCAGAGAATTTTGTCTGACTGGGCTTTCTTTAAATCTAGCTTCACCTTTGGGGTACTTTTCAGTTAAGAAAAATGTGTTAGGTTACAGCAACGTCAGTGACATAACAACATCAGAACATCTAAAGGAACAAACATGCCCAAGAAAGGGAGAATTTTTTAGCTGTAGTTTGTAGACTTGTCAGGCAGAGAGAAGAGGGAGATGAGTGTGTAATCTGTTTAATGCAGAAGATTAATTTGCCTTTGGAAGTTGCAACTGATGCTATAACTTGATGCCTTCTCCCCTTCACTGAAGGCATTTGGGGTTTGCAGCAGTTTTTAACACCTCCTCACAGCTGCTTCCCAGCCACCGGAGGGTATTTCTCAGGATGCCAGTCTGTGTTAAGAAGATAACGTCAGTTCAAGGAGTCCTGCCTTCTTGCATGTGCGTCTTCTGCTCATCTCTCATTCCTGCCCCTATACCACAATGTGTCAGCCTCTCCAGGGTTTCTCATAACCTAAATCCTTTCAGCAATTCACCTTCTTACAGAGCCCCCCCACCAATACTTCTATGAGTGTTGATGAGGGGGCAGCAAACTGATGTGGTGAAATAGGAGAAACCTAGGTTTTAAAACTGGTTTTGCTGCTGAAGCCAGTGGCAAATGACAAACATTCAGGCAATAATGTATAAAATTATTCTAGAATAAATATGTTAAAATGTTCTAGAAATTATTTGGAAGACTGAGGGAGACTGGATAGGTTTTTTCCAACTTTTCAAAAAAGAGTGGTCTGAAAATACGCACATTTATTATGCTTTTCACCATGACAAAACAAGAGCATCCAAATTTTGTGTTTGACTTTAAGATCCATTGCATCATGATGTATTGAATCTGATTATGGTAGCCACTTGTATTTGAAATTTGGTACTTAGAGGCATAAGAGGTAAAGCACTGAATTAACATTTCAGCATCTGTAAAAAATTGCTCTTATAAACCATCTGTTTTGACTCTGGCCAAGAGTGTGAAAGCCATTACAACTTTGTTCATTGATGATAGATGTGTGTCATTTCAGCTAAAGTTTTAAAACTTGTGTAATGTGGGCAACAGTGAGTTCTTTTGTACTGTTTCTTCCTGTATTTGTGAAGTTCCTGCTGCAAAGAATCCTAGTCATTTGAGAAAGAACATTTGAGAACACCTATAACATGAGCAACAATCATAGTTCAACTGGCCAAGCACTGATTTACAGTATTTTGTGCAGGAAGATTACTAACAGGCAGGATTCCAAAATACTTCAGCAACCTTAAAAATGTTTCCAAGAAAATGTTACTAATTTTAATCATGACTATGCAATACATAGGAAACACGAATGCTAGAGGTTAAGGGATCAGCAAAGATTTCTCAGCAACATGGGTTTAACACAGGAAGCAATGGGGAAAGTCCAAGGTTAAACTGCTCAGCTAAAGCCAGAACGGAAGCTGAGGCAAGAAAAAGAAAACATAGGGTCATAAACATGATGACATCTCTGTACTAGGAAGATGACTCACAATATTAGGTTGTAAAACCTAGGTACAAAAAATTCATATAGCTTCTAGAATGTAAGGCAGAGTTGGTAATCGTGTCATGGTCTAACCATAGATAAATCTATTTCCCTTTTTGATTAAAAGGTCAGGGAGATCAAATGCAATAAGATAAAGCACATAGTAAATCACATACTCAAAGTACTCTAATTATTTATGAAATATAATGTTTGAATGAATTCTGCTCAGATTAGGTAGAGAAGGGATTTTCTTCAAGATATTTAGGCACACAGGAAAAAAATTGCAGAGTTTTAAGTGAAAAAGAAGGCATACTGTTCTGACTTGCTTACATCTAAAACACATCAACTAATTAAAACAGCTGAGGAAAGTGTCATGATCATCTTTGTACTTTAAAATGAGGAGAAATTCAAATGCTTGAGAAGTTGGGTTTTCTGGCTTTGCCTCAGGAAAGCTCTCAAGCATGTTCTTATCTTTAAGCAGAAATGTTCCCCTGGAAATTACTGCTGGTGCCTCAGCAACTTGCAAGATCAAGTTCTTGAAATGTTTTATGTTTGTTTTCTTTCATTACCTTGCATATATTTTGCAGGTTCTACTACACAAAGCAGCAAGCTGCTACATGTCTCTTGTAACTGTGGGTACAGAGGAATTTACAATGTAAGCATTTTGGTTTATATTTTGTGAAATTTGTGCTCTTACCTCAAGTCTTTGCCGTAGATTAATTGTAGCACAGAAATGCTGCAAAACTAATACAAATTCAGTGGAGAGGGATGGGAGATATTGCTGCTTTATTGTCAAAAGCCATTTACTTGTGGGAGAGTTTATGGAGCAAGAGCAATTTATCACAAGTTTTATTACTTTGCATGTGAGGTTGGGTAATGAGTTAACAAAACCGTATTGTTTGCTAACAGGAGTCATGGCATTTTGTAAAGGAGAGGAACCTCTTATGCAGTAATACAGAAATATTCTGGCTGTCATATTTGTAAAGGAAATAATCTGCAATCATTTCTTAATAAAGAGGGTTGAGGTTGTGCAAGTACACCAATGCAAGATGGTCTTTAACTATTTAAGAGACAGACTACTCCATAATGAATTTTTCCCTAGTTCTTCCTGTTTTGTTCATAGTTCACCATTTTTTTGCACTTACAGCCTACTCTTTGCTTCTAGAGAGAAAGAAAGTACTTTTTATATGTAGACGGTTTACTGCTGGCAATATATAAAACTGTGCTTTCCTTACATTTTAATGCAGCCTCTACCCTGTGTTCAGTTAATACTTTGTGAAGCAGAATAACATTCTCTTCTCCTTCATTGTTTCTGTTGATTCTGTGTCTTGGGATTTTGACAGGAAGAGAGGCTCCAATTTAAAGTCAGAGTTAGCAGCTAAGGGCTTCAAGAATACAGACTAAGCAATTGCCACAGAAGTGGCCAGAACAGCTAGTTTGAACATGGGTCCAAGATTTTCCGAAATTTTTCTTTAAGCAGTCGTTCTGGTTACAGCTGACTCTATAATGACAGTTAATTCTCATTTTCTTCACGACGTCCTGTTTGCAGCATCTAGACAGGCATTTAGAATCCTGATTTCTGCCAAGGACTTCCAGGCAACACAGTAATAGGCAAATGCTAACGCCACTGTCAGTAACAGGAAGATTACCACTATAATTTAAAAGACTGTAAGTGGAAAATAGATTGACCCATATTGTCAGACTTTTCCTTAAAAATGAAACAAAAAGGTAAATTCAGATCCAAAATCTAGCTACTTGGTTTCTTGGCATAGTTTTAATGCAACAAATGTTTCTAAGTGTGTAAAATAAAGTATACCCCACATCTGTGCAAGCCTCCCTTTTCTATTTTTTTAACCTGGATATTTAAGCTAGGCCAGAGTGGCTAGTACTGTGACCCTCCTGATCTTGTGCTGGTCAGGTAAGGCATGAGGCTCTGCACTGGGAGACAAGAAAAGGTTTTTATTTTGCAATCTGGAGAAGCAGTTGCAGTCTTTCAAAATGTGGAAATTTGAATCACTGCAGCCTGTGAACTACTCTACATCTTCTGACACAGGAAAGAATCAATAAACCTCATCCTCTGTACATACCAGGTTTGGGTAAAACTGCAGTTGCTGGTATGACAATGCATCTTCTGTTTACTCTCTGTGTAAAAAATGCAACTTATGAAACGTATGCCTCTGATAGCACATTATTTACGATTCTTTGGAAGATACTTTGCTTTATAAATATTTCAATATTTGTTTTGTTTTTTTTTTTTTCTTCAGCTTGGAAGGTGCTGTTGGACTTCAAATTACCTGTCTCTAGGGAAGAAAGCTGGTTAAAAACCAGTTGCTCTTGAATTCATCTTTCACACAAATATTATGATGTTACTCCAAGGTCCTGGGATGAATAATATCAAATAAACCTCCAAGATTTTAAGAGGCTTTTGTGTGAGGATAGGTAAGATTTGAAGTGTGTGCAATACCTGATGATGTGCATGATGATGTGCCACATAATAGAAGCTTAAAGTGTTTAAAGTTTCTTCTGTTGCTGGTAGTCAGTGGCCCTGGAGGCTGGGTTGTTGCTTCAGAGTAGCTGAATGAGCCATTATTTCAACTCTGTATCTTATAAAGAGAATGCTCACTATTTGTGATAAGTATTTTACTGAGATGTACCTGTGTAGATTATTAGATTTCTCTTTTCTTAAATAAATCCCCTTCAGCTGTTTACAGCTATCTCAAATTTGTTAAAAACTTTCTGATCTTTAGGTTCTTCCAACAACTGAATTATGTATTTAGTTAAAATTAGGTTCTTAGTCTAATCGGTTCTGTCATCATTTCCCATATTGGCATGTTCATGATAAATGAATGCAAATGGAAGCATGAAGACACCCAATCAAATTTAAATTTTGATTTGATTGAATACGGTTTGAAGTTAGGCTTGGTGTTGTTCAAAATGCAGTGCTTCTGAATGAGAAGTGATAAACTCACAAGGGAGAGTGCTAGAAATAATCCCTGGACATCTTGTTCTTATTAGACATAGGCTAAATCATTCTGACAGATTTCAAACCTACTGAAATATTATTCATTAAAATGTTGATGTTGATTTCAGTGTTACTGGCAGCACATCTTATATCTTTAAAGGTGACTATGAAAGAGAGGGAAGACAAGTATATATCATGAAAAACAGAGTGAGAAAAGAAACGGAGAGCTGATTGTGTGAAAGAGACACCCTGGGAAAGCATCAGAGAAAAGGGAAAGAAACAGATCCCAATTTTTGTAAGTATGTCTCTTCAGGACTGAGACTGTGCCAAACCTTGGACTTGGAGGCTGTTCTGTCCTTAATACATTGCACATGATTGTCTGAGCTAGAAAAACATTTTTTGTGGTTTTTAAAAAATTGAATTATACTTATACAAAATAAAACAAACTATGAGTTTAAATGATAGAGTAGAAAGAGACAAAATTCATTTTGCAAACCCTTAGAGAGTTTAAAAATCCCTTAGGTTCACAAAACCTCAAACTTCATAAGGTTCCTGTATTCCCAGAGTAGGATGCACAAAGGAGTTACTTCCATCTACTTTAATTAAGTTTTCATCAGACTTTTTCTATTCAGCTAACTTATTCTCCTCTCAAGACATCTTTGTATTAAGGGCAAGATCCAAAATATCCCACTGACATTTCCTGTGCAATCTAGATAGAAATTAGTTAAGGAGAGAGATTATAAAAGCTGGGTAACTTTGAAAGCTACAAGACCGTAGGCAGTTGAGTATGACTATGAATGTTTATTTCAGCACCTCTGCCTTGCTGCAGGTAGGCTTATTTGCCTTTTAGGATCTACATCTTCATCCACTGGAAGTATTCAATGTGTCTAAACCCTAGAGATGGTCCTTAATGTATTCCTTGAAAAAAAAATTATCTCCTGTTGGCTGCCTGTAGGTAATTCCCCACTCAACAGAAGGTTTTAGCTTGTTCCTCAGGAATACCATTCTCCACCCAATATGATGTCTAGGCTCCCATCTTAGTGTTTTTAACACACTAACAGGGTCCACTTTTCAGACACTGGGTTGCCTACTGAGCAATGTGGAGCTGGCTCTATGAGTTAGCTCCAAATGGAAGCAAAGGCTTGCATGCAAAGCCTGTTTATCTTCTAGATAAGTAATGCCTACCAAGAGGGTGTCAAAGCACGTGTGTGTGTGTGTGGAGTTACTGAAACAAGTTGATATGAATAGTCAGTATCAGTAAACTCTCATAATCAACAGAGATACCTGGGTGAACATAAGAATGGCTGTGCTTTGTCAAAACAAGGATTCACCTGGCCCAACAGGCTGTGATACTTATCTGACAGGGAGGCATTCTGATTATGAAGATGTTTTTTGAGAATGAACCTCATCATTAGCACTTTGGGTAGACTGACTTCTGGATCTTCCTTAGATCCAGGGAACTTGACTGTAAAATTGGTGATGTGGGAAACTGGTTTTGTTCTTTTTCCTGAATTAAAATATTTTCCTACCTCCAAACTACCGGTAATCTTAAGGGATGCCCAAGAAAAAAAATAGGAAAAGGTTATTTGGTTGCTGCTTAAGCCCATACCAACTTCTGTAACCTTTAATATTGCTGCAAGGAATTTCACCCACTTAATGAGAACTACACCTTTTAGTTCAGTTTGAAGTTTTACTTGGAACGTCATTTGATACTGCTCACTTTTGAATTGGTAGATGCAGTATTACTGGTGCCAGACTACTCTCTCCATAACTCTTACGATTTTACACACCTCTGCCACATCCCTCACTCATCTCTTTCCCTGACTGTAGAGTCCTCAGTCATTTGATCATTTTCTTACATTGTTGCAGACTTCTAATCATCTATCCTTGCTCTTTCACAGTTTTTCTTTATTGTGAAGTATGTTCTGAGCCACATTTCTTTATTCAGCTTTGGAGCTATCTCTAGATTTTAGGTTGAGCCTTCCTCTAGTCAGGAGCCTTCCTCACTATTAGTTTAAAAAATGTTGCGTAGTGACTCATTTTTCTAAGGACATATTTATATACATGCATATGTGTGAGTATATCTGAATACTTTAGATCTGCTTCATCTACTCTTCTACCATGGATGACACAAAGATGTTGAATTATTATTGTATCTGCAGCAGGTCTGGGGACTCAGGTGTCCTGGCCAGTATATGACCCTGTGACTGGAGAGTCGCACAGGCTCTTTCTCACACTCAAATTACAGGATCACCACTTATGCCATATGCAGTATGACTGCTTCAGGGATGCCCTTCCTGCAGCATGGTCTTTCCTGCTACTCAGGTCATCTCTGAGAAGTGGCAGATGAGAATTTGCACTTGCTTGGGATGTGGGAGCAGGTTTTTCTTATCTTCTGTGTTTGCTAAGCTATTGTGTAACCGGACTTCTCCTCCTCCAAGTGAAAGAGCAGCTGCTATGATATTTCCTCCAGGACTTGCTCCTATAGGTGCAGGGAGTGTGTTCACGTGCCACGCAGCACTCAGAAGGGTGCACAGAGGCACTGAGTTATCAGAGGACATGGGTCACAGAGCAGTTGCTGGTGACTTTTGATCACGTGCAGGCAATAGACAGTGTACTGAAGAACCCCACTGACAAAGACATAGGTGCATACAGGATTAGGCAACAAGAAAGATAGAATCATAGGATTTTATTTGGGACTGAATAAGTGCACGAGGTTAACTGGATCTGTATCAGGTGTTCTGTATTGCACAGAAAGCTGTTGAATAGCTATTGCATGATCATTGTTGTCTATGTCATACAGCAGTGTCAACCTGTATATGAGGTCAATAATATCCTAGGTGCCTGATGTGGACTTACGAGGACACAGCTATTGCACTAAGGAAATATCTCTATGGGTTCATAAAGGTGATATTGCTGTTATCTCTGCATAACACATGGACTTGGAGCCCAGAAGTGACACCTGTTTTCTGGAGTCCCAGTATCACAGCTGGCCACAAAGCCAGTTTGTGAAAATGTCTGTCTTCCTTCCTTTCCTTCCTTCCTTCCTTTCTCTCTCTCTTTCTCTTCTTTCTTTCTCTTCTCTTTCTCTCTTTCTTTTTCTCTCTTTCTCTTTTTTTCTCTCTCCCTCTCTTCCTTCCTCCCTCCCTTTCTTCCCTCTTTCTCATTCATTCTTATTCAAATCTTTGGAAAAGTTGTCATCCTTGTTCTTGTGCTTTCTACTCTCCTCCTGAGAAAAAGACAAATCCCTTTCAGGGAATAGAGACGAACATGTTGATGGTTCGTGAAGCTGGTGAGAATAATCTTTCTTTTGGTGATTTTTCTTTCCTTTTAAGAATCTCCAACTCTTACTGCTTTCCACAGAGTAGTTTTACGAAATAATGGGTTAGTCATATTATTTTTCTGTGAATGCAGTTGTCTGGTTCTCATTTGAAGAGGAAGTAAGTGAGCTTTCACAACCTTTCTTGGCAACAGCTGGTTTAAAATTTAGATGATTAAAATTGGAAAGTAACTGGAATAGAGGTGCTCAGTTTAGAAATTTATTAATAGAACGTTAAAGTTAGGATTTATACCCATAGCTAAAGAAGATTCGTCTGTGTGTTTGTTGTGACATTTCTGCTCATTGTTGTCTCGTGAGGCAAGACAACTTTCTGGATAAGTATCTGTAATGTAACTGTGAACTAACTAGGGTAAAATAGTGTACTGAAGTGATATTAGTGAAAGGATGCGTCAGGTGTTCTTGGCTTGGGGCTTTTCTCATCTGTTGTTCTGGGTAAAAGCAAGGAAAGGATGGAGGGAGGGGAATTCATCTTCATCTTTTCCAGAAGATAAGAGATGCAATGGTTTGATGTGATTAATGGTTTAATGGCTTCATGATCTGCAGCTGTCCCAGACAGAGCAAGTCCCTTCCTGACTTCTGGCCAGGAGGGTCCTCAAGGGTGTCAAGAAGGAAGCTGGAGTTGCGTGGGTGCTGGTCCCTTTGCCCATGGAGGTCCCATGTGGTGGTTGTCAAAGGAAACTTTTCAAATGGGACTAATCGCTAGATCGGTGTAATCAAGCTAATTACATTAATGTATCATTGCTAATTTCCCTGAGAAGGCTCTAGTACATGTGGAAGGATACTATGTTTCTTCACTGGTGTGTTGCTTCTCTGCCCATCTGGGATCAGAGTAAAAGTGGTAATTGTAATGGCAGGGAGACAGTTCGAGCAGTATAATCCCACATGGGAGCTCCCTCTTCTGTGTATGCAAAGGAATAGGGGCTTAAATTCAAGTCAAGGCAGAAAATAAGGGACTCGTTTCCCACTAGACTAAACCAAGAAGGGAGAAATGTGTGAATGTGTATCTGGATTTGCATCGGAATTTGCCCATTTCAATTTGCGAGCATAATGTAAATGAGAGTGTCAAGATGAGGTTTTCTTTACAAATGCATTCTTAGCTGCACAATAACAACACCCTGTTTCTTACAGCTGTTTGGAATTAGTAGAACTGTTGTCAAATGATGAAATAAATACATCATTTAGTTAGCTGCATCCATTAAGATCAATATGCCTTTCTATGAGCAGAATAATAGGTGCTACACTGATTCATCATAATCAGTAATCAGTGGTTACTGATATATTATAGCACCAGATAGACTTGTGAAAATTCCAAGGGAAGATTTTTTTTTTAAATCTCATAATGAAATTCCATTTGGAATGGATTCCCAACAGAGTATCTTAAACTAGAAATCTAGATATACCTAGAAGTAGCTTTAAACAATGAGCAAAAAATGACAATAATAAAAATCTCTTTGTTTTTCATGTAGAGGAAAGTAAATTTGGTGGTGTTTTTTTTTTTGTGTTTTTTTTTTTTTTTTCCTAGCATTTCCAGTAATATCCATCTCAGGAAAGTGTATACTGTAACCCCTTCACTGTGTGAAAGTACTTGTTTATTATGGTCTATGTGAGCCTTTTTTGACCATGGATATAGAATAAGGAATTCTGCTCTTAAAGCCTTAGAAGATCTGGTGCTAGTGAATACAGGAGGATAATGGCGCTAACAAAAATCGCTTCCTTTTCTTGACCCATTGCCTCTTTATCCCCTTTTGAGTGACTAGTGTTAACATCATTGTCTGCATGTAGTCATGCATGAGAGCTTTTAATCACAGCTTTCCTGCACTGAGTGGCTGTGCATATGTGGATACACACGTGCTATCATGTTAAAAGATGATGAAATGATTTTTGTTCCATATATTCTCCTGTCATTTACTCTTTTTGCAATGTATTCACATAAATGTTCTGTCCAAATTCCTTTATTTAATAATGTATAAGTAGTTATATCCTGCTATTGAAATTATTTTTTGCTTAATATTTAATGAATATGCAGTATACACATG